AAACATTTACATCCGAACTAAGGAAGAAGTCAGTCCAGTCGTAGGAATTAAGGTGTGTTAATAATTCGGTTGAGCGAGTTGATCGAAAATCGCGGAAAAAGTTATATTTTGCGCAAGACGTTTTGTCAGCCTCGAATTCCAACGTTGAAACAACTATGTCATGGTCTGAGCCCCCAAGTGGGCCTAGAGATTACACTTACGATGGCATGCAGCCTCTACAGAAAATGAGGTCAATTATGCTTGAGCCTCAAGTGGGAAAATTGACAGCCTGAGTTCACATCCCAACATCCACAACCTCAAGAATTTTTTCGAACATTCTGGGGCCTGAGGGCGGAGACCAGCGGAATTCGGGAAGATTAAAGTCACCCGCAACCAATTGATACTTAAAGCTTAAGTCGGCCGCTGCATGAAATGCCTGTGAGAGTAAACGATCACAATTTTCATTGGCGTTGGGAGGGCGATAGACGCAGTAAACGAGTAAGGCGAACTTATTTTTTTAGTGCAACTTGGAGCCAGCAGCTGCCTTCTACTGCGGAAAAATACGGGAGGTCAAGCGACAAAAATGTAAGTGTTTGCTTAACCTTGACGCAGCTGCCCCCACTACGGCTATCTTGGCGATCGTTTCGAATGCAAGTATAGCCTAGAAGCGAGAGTTCGGAGTCAGCTACTGAGACTGATGCCTACGTTTCAGTTACTATAACAATATCTGGACAATGAACGAACGCCAATGTCTGAAGCAAAGGCATCTTATTAAGCAAGGATCTGGCATTTAAAACAAAAAGTTTGAAGGGAAAGGCTGTTAGTTTCTGAGGGAGGTGGGATACATCGTCTTGGGCTATCCACGGAGCAAACGGTCCGGATGCAACCATCCGGTTCTGCCAAAAAATTTGTGGCATCGAAAAATTCTGACGTGGATAAAAAGGGGTAAGATTTGGGGAGGAAATGACGGACAGGTATACTGGTAACCATTGTTAGCTAACTTATTTTCAGCTGAAAATCCGCGGGGCAGATACCGCAACACATTCCCGCCGGAACGAAACTGAGGATCGGATGAGTTAACTGATCCAGTATAGACATTAGCATGAGGAATACATTGGTAGAACGGCTGTGGATGAAACAAGTGAGGGAGTGGGGGACGCATTGTTTCCATTGGAGCAAGAGTTCTATTAAAGGGCGGGAAAATCGGCATATTCGGCCTAACTGCCTCGATATGAGGGCTGCGGGACAGTTGGGAACACGTTACGTTTTGAGTCGGGGTATTTGAGGCACTGTTCGCCGATTGAGGAGGAAAAGATTTTATAATGGTGCTGGATTTATCGGGTGTCCGTGTCGCTGAGACAGCAATTGGATTTGCCTTTGACTTAGACACATGCTTAGGCTTGCTAGGGGTTGTTGGGGGAGTCGACAGAGGCGTGTTTATACCAGGCGTGATGGTGTGTTTAAAGAGCTCAGCATTAAAAGAAGTCGAATTCCCTACAGTATTGACTATGCCGTGATGTGCGGATGCCGCAGATGGTGTTGTAGAGGACTTATTCAGACTGACAGTAGGTGTCATTATCTTGGTGTTGGTTTTTGCCGATTTTAATCTATTCAGTCTTCGCTGCAGGGGTAAGAGGTCTGGCGAAACGGAGCAGCGTCATTTACGGCAGGATTCTCTAGTTATCTCCCTACCCGACAAGATAAAATCTACTTCAATCATGGAGAATAGGGCAATTAGTATCGGTGCATTACGGCTAAGCGAGCGAAGTCGCTTAGCTTGTGCGACACTGAAACTCAAGCCACAACTTTGTAGGAACAAATGCGCTCCCTCCATAGCAGATAAGTGGCTCAGAATGTTTCGCTGTACGAAATTATGCTTGCGTTTAATTCTCTACACAGTTTCCGAACTGATTACCCCAATAAGTTTAAAAGCTTGCTCAATCACTTTTTCAGAAGTGCTGTTTATATCGCCATAAATCAACTGATCGGCTATTTCGCCGGCTGATGGCCTGCAACGACTAGCAGAGGCGTATTTTTGGACGACTGAAGGGTCAAGAGGTTTTACATGTACTAAAGGGATTTGTGAGTTAATCAGATCTGCAGACGGCGAAGAACATACGCTGGCACCTGCAATGTCTTCAGTCACGATTTTAGCACCCAGAGACGGTGGGGAGGCCGCAAGCTTTCGCCTTTTAGCACGTGCTCTGCGGAGCATTACAGACAAGATAAGTTTTTCGTAACAGGAGAAGGATCAAAACTTTGTCAACGTACAGAAAGGCGCACTGAATAGCAAGTAATATTGTTATTTAACTACGAAAACTAGAAAGAGATAGTAGGGAAAGGAGTCACTACAAAGGTTTCTATTCCAAAATACGACTATTTTTTCAGACTGTCAAACAAAACTGGGAAAAAATTTTACCTTATATTGAAAGGTGACTTTTAAAAGGGACTCAAGTAAAAAACAGACATTTATTGCTTAAGAATATTCAGATAAATGCAAAGCTTCATATGTTCTAATGCACATGGATTGGCAAATTGTCCACGTTTAAAATCTATGGGTTTTGCAGATCGGTGGAATTGTCTGCGAAAACACAGGGCATGTTTTGTTTATCTTAGTAATACAAATTCAGTACGCTGAATTAACCGGACAATTTCCAGTTGGCGCGTAAACGACTAATCTATCTCAAGAGTAAGTTGGGTCGAGATCCCGAATTACTTCGGAAATATGAGCAAACCTTCCGTCCGTACACGGAGAGGGGATACATTGAGCGAGTTGACGGCAACAAAGCGTTTTCAGTTACGAGACACTGGTACTTACCAAACCACCCCGATGTCAATCCCCGAAAATCAGAAAAAATTCGTGTTGTATTTGACTGTGCTTAAGAATATCGAGATAAATGCAAAGCTTCACATATCTTTGAAATTGACATACGCGCCTTGACCTTGGACGTGGTGCGAATCCGAAACATAGTCTCAGAAACATTCCCTATTGCCAGGGGAGTACTTCAAGGCACTATCCTAGGCCCCCTTTTATTTCTCACATATATTTACGACTTACCGTTCATATTAGTACCAGCTTAGCAGTTTTTATATGCGGACGACCTGAAACTTGCATATACATATAACGGGAACACAGTTTCCCATATTCACAGAACAATCGAAACCGATCTGCAAAAACTCAGCGAATGGAGTGGTCAATGACAGGTGCCCTTTTCACCCGAAAAGTGTCATCTCCTGATGTTTCGCTCACAAAAACTTCCGCCATAATTTTCGAGGATAATGAAATAACGGACGCCCCACCGGTAAAAGATTTAGGTCTCAGCTATATAAATACCCTTGATTTGTCTCCCCACGTCCAGCAAATATCACCGAAAGCCAATCGCCTGTATGGATTCATTTGTGAAAATTTCACCTTAAATGCACTAAGAATATAACTTTTCAAAATGAACATCTTATCTCTCCTAGATTCTTGCTCAATCTTTTTCGCTATAATGCACTCAGACGGCCGACAGAAACTAAAAGGCATTAAGAGACGTTTTACTATATCTCTGTCCAGAAGTGATAGCATCCAGGGTTCATACTTAGAACTATAACATAAATAGGGTCTTCGACCCCTCTGGATCAGAAGACTCCAAAATGGTCTACACTTCCTATTCAAGGTCACCGATGACCGAGACGTTTTCAAAATGAATTTACTAACAAACCAAAATGTCCCTGGAAACAGCAGAAACAACGAAGATATTATAAGAATCCCCAAATTCACAAAGTCTCAAAGGTCGAATTTCTACACCATAAGATACGCAATTATCGGAAATGCTCTTCCAAGTTCTATCCGGAAAAGTCGAACTCTATTCGACTTTCAAATAAAAACTAAGGAATTCCTTTTAAATAAAAATACGCATTTATTTTTGAATAAAATAGGGCATTTATCAGATCACTTCTTTGATACAGAATTTGGTCCATAAGGACTCTGATGGTGCCAGCCGCTTGAATAATACCGGAACATAGCACTAAAACAATCGGATTTATGAAAGACAGCATCATTGATAAACACACAACAGATAGTGATATTCTTTCTTTTCTCTCTTTGTCGTTTCTACCGGCTATGTCACCTGACACTTAATATCCCATAAGGAGCCAATAATAACATTCCTTTCAATAAAACCCTGCATATTAGTTGTACGTACGTCTATATTAAGCCCATATTAAACCTATATACAAATATATTAGATCGTAGTAAAAAGTCGACCACTACTTCTATAATGTTACATTTACAAGAACAATATAACACATGATTGTGATTGTGACTTGCCATTGAATGTTTGTCACTCCTGATATATATTCATCTTTTCCAGCTTTTAGTCCAGACAATTATGGCAAGCCTCCTGAAAAACACGAAGGAAATGTGTGGCCGCCCATTTATGGCTGGCCAGATAGACTGACAACCACCTGTAGAAAGTTCTAGAATGCCAGACCACGTGTGGCCGCGATCTTGGAGAAGGCCCTAGAAAGCTTGTCACTTTAGGGGCGCGCGAGCCGAACTTTTCCATATTAATACGCCAGGCACTTAGTCGCAATTTGGCCTCTCGCAAAAAGTATGCATGTAATAAATTACTATAAACTTAAAATCAATCAAAATAGCTCCGTCCTAAGTTTGTCTAACTTTCTACCCTCGACCAAATCTCAACTAATCAACAATGGCGGGCGCAACCTTGGCGACTTCCGGCCCGGAGAGGCTATAAATCCGGGCGAGGATGAACCCAGGTCAATCCCGTGGCAGGCTGCCAACCTTCGGACGTGGGATTTCAGTCGCTGTTTTCGTCAGATCCCCGCGCCCCTGCCAATCCTGCCGGACAATCTCCCCTTGCCCCAGTTTATTTCTCTAATTAGGTTTCCCCTCTTTAGTATCTTATTGTACAAAGGCGTTTAAGTACATAGACGTTACCGAATCCTTATTTTCCTGGGCCGTTTCTCGTACTGACATTCGGGCTCGTTACGAAGTGGTGGCAGCGGTGACCACTATGCCGGATAACCCAGTGGGTAAACTGGTCAATGAACTCCATAAGCTAGGTTTGCAGGAGCCGTCTGCCCCCATGCCGGAAAAGTTGTCGAGGACGGCTGACTTCGGTCGGTGCGAGGCGAGGGTGACGGACTACCTGCGCAGGGCTGATGCTTCGTCGCGAAGCGGAACCATCACAGGACTGCTGGATGACGAAGTCTACGACCTCGCTCAGTTAGTAGACATATCTGCTTCCATGTCGACGACGGACACCCTGAATCGCCTTCGTCCAAATCCCGGGGCGTCTATGAACCCCTGGATTCTGCAATACGAGTTTCGGGGCCGCGTCCAGCAGCCGGGTGAACAAGTCCTCGACTACCAGCAGGCCTTTCGTCTCCTGGGACGGAGGGCTTTTCCCACCATGAATGCTCCAGCCCTCATTCAACGGGTGTTGGAGCAGTTCATCGCTGGTGTCAGGGACCCTGAAATCCGGAAGGCCTTGATGCGGGAACAACCGTCTACCCTCGGCAAAGCCCTTGACCTCGCACGTCAAAAGGAGGCGCTCCAGGCAGTCTGCGATCGGCCAGCTCAACCTCTCCTCCGCATCGCTGCTCTCCGGCCGCAGAAGGTCCGCGACTGTGGTACTCAAACGCCCTGGAGCCGCTGCTCCTGCGCCTCCTTCTACCCCCGACAAAACTAGTGACGTTGACAGCTGCCCTGTCGAGGCCGAGGAACTCAGTCTCGCCGCCCCGTTCAGGCCACTGATGTCATTACGGAGGACACGGCGGTAAGTATTACATTGTTTCTAAATCATCTGTTTTATGCATTGTTCCTACTATTTGCCCTTTAGAAGGTTTTGTAGGCAGCACAGGTCTTTCATGTCTAGTAGACTCAGACACTGGTTGTTCTTTGATATGTCTTCAGTCTTTTCAGGGTTTCAAACGACGATTAGGTATTGTGGTGGGCCTGATATTAAACTTCATACTGCGAATGGCACTCATTTTAGCCATAGTGGTCTTGTGAAGTTTTCTCTTGACCTCTCAGGTTTTAGTTTTTCCCACCAGTTTGTCGTGCCCCGGATATCACTTGGATAGATTGATAGACAATTATTATTAAAGACCCGTCGGGGTCCCATCAAAGCAAGTTAAAATAAATTTGCATGCGAGTTTTAGACGAGGTAGGCCGAATCTTTACAAAATGCAATTCCTATTTTCTAAATTAGAAGTCCATTGAGAAACATGATGATTGAGGGGTGAAAAAAACTCCTTACAAACAGTTAAAAATGATCGGATTAATTTTACAGGAGAAAAAACCCCTCTTTAAAAATAATAACAGAAAAAAGCGAGCAGGACTGGCCTGTAGGTGGCGGTTTATAACGGAATGTTGTCGGTCATCGTCAGGGTAGCAATAAATGTCCGCCTTGATGGGTACGAATGTGGCGCAGACAGGACTGGCTTTCAAATGGCATTGTATACGGGATTCACAATTGAGATCGTCTGGGCCTGATTGGTACGCCGCGTCAAAGAGGCCAGACGAGAGGAACCGAGATGCGATCGACCACAGCACGCTTCGAGCTCAGCTGAGCAGTGAGGAAAGAAGGTACGACCGAACTACTAGTAAACAGTGAATACTGAGGGTTCCGCCGTGAGTGTCGACAGACCGCATGAGGTCGGAATGCGGGAGATGACATCAGAAACCGCGAAAATTGTCGCTATGGGGGGAAAGGATAGCGATGGATTTAGAAACCAATTCAAAACAGGGGGTTTCTAATGATATAATTAAGAGTTACCACTTAATCTACCACTAAATCCCAGGAGGACCCTTCTCGAAGTCAAGAATCTGAGTGTTCGGGAATGAGGCCGTTAACAGTGCCTTTATGCTTTCCGGTGTAAGATGGTTGCGCAATTTCGACTTCAATACCAGTAACTTAGGCGATAATCTAATTTCAGGCGGAAGATTATTCCAAAGGAAGGCGTATTTGGAAGCAAAGAAGAGGGAGCGCTCAGATGTAGTACAAAGAGGCGGCGGAATCACCATGCAGGAGTTGCGCGTGGCATAAGACCGATCTCTCGGAGTGAGAGTGTCAATGTGCGGAAGACTGGAGCTAGAGTTGATGCAAAAAAGGAAGCAAAGGCCAGCTTCGGGTCTTCTAACCCACAAAAACTTCATGTTCACCAGCTGACATCTCTGAGTATAAGAAATACTGGACGAAGCTTGAGAGAACAGTTTCCGGGTGAAAACCCTCTGAACATTTTCGATTTTATTACGGTCGTAGGCGTTCATTAAACCGAAGAAAGGACAGCAATATTCGAGGACTGGAAGAACAACCATTTGATAAAGTCTTAGCTTCCATTCCGGAGGGAAAAAATTATGCGATATGAATCCACATATCTGCGCGGCTTTGGCAGAGATTCTATCTGCATGAGATGATAAGGCAAGCTTATTTGTATAACTAAGACCTAGATCCTTAATGGTGAGGCATTCTGAGAGTGGGTTATTCTGAAAAATTATGGGACCGGAAGTTGCGTAGGACCAAAAGCCATGAAACTACACTTGGATGATGAAAACTCCATCTGCCATGTCGAACCCCATCTGCTTAAGCGTAGTAAATCGGCATTAATTTTTTCAACACAAACATTTGCGGTGTCTTTGAAATATGCGTGAGCACAATTAAGGTCATCGGCATAAGTAAAAGTTTGCGAATTTCCGAGTTCAGTCGAAATATCATTGATGTAAAGAAGGAAGATAAGCCGACCCAGAACCGTGCCTTGAAGTACGCCACTCGTGATCGAGTGGGGTGTCGAGTAGCTATTACCGACCATGACTTTCTGATATCGGTTGGACAGATAGGACCTGATGAAGTCGAGTAGAGGCGGCCGGATGCCGAGAGCTTCCAATTTTACTAAAAGACGTCTATGAGGCACCTTGTCAAAGGCTTTGCTAAGATCAAAGTAAATAACTACCACTGACTGCCGCTCATTACGAAGAGAAGTGATTAGATTAAGAAAAGCCAAGTGGCATGTTCTGCAGGATCGTTCATGTAAAAACCCATGCTGACTAGAGCTCAGAAGCCGATTAGCTGGACAGAAGTTAAGAATTTCATTGAAAATAATCCTTTCAAGAAGCTTTGCTAGAGACGGCGTTTTGTGCACGCCCCGATAGTTATTAACATCGGACCGAGATCCTGACTTGAAAACGGGAATGATAATTGACGTTTTCCATTTTTCAGGAAAGAATCCTTTTGAAATATAAACCGAGAATAAATGACTGAGCAATATGGGAAAATCGGACGCTTGTTTAATAATCATATTCGGAATCCCGTCCGTTCCTGAGCAGTGTGAGTATTTCAAACGGCTTATGTGTTTCTTAATGAGATCTGAGGAGACATCAATTTTACTAAGTGTCCTATCTGAAAGTGATCGAAAGAAAGGGACCGGATCGGACTCGGTAGCAAGGTGTTTTGCAAAGAAAGCACTAAACAACACCGCCTTGTCAGTGTCATCGGTGAGGAAGACTTTGTTATCATTTAGCATGGGTGGAAGTTCAAACCACGCTTAGAGGAGGACCGATGACGGAAGATGTTAGCGACGGATTTGCCAGGGTTCGAGCCACTGAGAGCAATTGATTCTCTTTGCCTGTCGCGCGCTTGGCGCATCCTTGAGGCCATCTCAAAAATCTCTGTGATTCTAAGATGAACTAATAAGGAACTAGTGGACAGGTCACGCAGTTGTCGCCTGAACTTTTTTAGTCCGTTCTGAAGAAAATGAGGAACAAGGGAATCTGAAGAATTAGGCTTGAGATATCTACGCGGCACAATCTCTAGAATGTCCTTGGAAACATTGGACATGACATCACGAAGAGTGGTTACATCGCTACAAGTGAGGAAGCCACACCAATCCAAGGATCTCATATAGTTATTTTTTAAGTCGCTATCTACGCAGTCGTAGTTCATGAAAGTCTGAACGGCGCTTGTCTTTTTTGAAAAGGCAAGCGGTAGGCAACAATGAATTAATACGTAGTCACTGTCAAAGAGGTCCTTTTTTAAAGCAACAGAAAGAGGTGCAATGTCATTGGTAAAGATTAGATCTAAAATGTGACTATCTCTTGTTGGAGAGCGCACCAGTTGGGACCAATTAGAAAAATTGAAAATATCTTGGAAGGGCTGGAATCTAGGTGGACAGATATTGGAAGCCCAGTCTATTTCAGGAAGGTTAAAATCCCCAGTGATTATTTTAACATCGAAAGCAGCTTCCGAAATTAATTTAAAGATTTCACAGAGTTGTGAATCATCACTGGCTTAAGAATTTGGGGGATTGTAGATACAGCCAATAATTGCCTTTCTTTGCGGCGAGAGAATAACAGATGCAAAGCAGAAGTTTCCCGTGAATGAGCAAACATCGAAGCAATAGGGAGAGTGCTCTAGGTAGGATTTAAAATAAAGAAGACAACCACCCCACGTCTAGTCGTGCGGTCTTGGCGGTAAAAATCGAAGTCATCTATGAGAAGGGCAGAGTCAGGAATTAGAGAATGGGTCCAAGATTCTGTTACACATATAATATCAGGCGTCATTTCCAGAGCAATGGCTCTGATTTGGGCCATCTTGTTTATAACTGACCTGGCATTCAATAATATAATATCTAATGTGTTTCGAACGGCAATGCTATTTTCGACGGTATTTAAAAAAAATTTGGAGGTGGATATGTAAGCTGTGAATAAATGACACTTGGAGAATAAGTACCGGTTAATCTAGAGATATTGACGTACGGGGAGTCAGCAAGAGAAGGCTGAGTGCTGATAGAAGCGAACAGGCGAGTCCCAGGTAGCAGTTCAGTAGATGAAGATGCGATCACTGGGACAAGAAGTTTATTTGCCTGACGTTTCGGATTCTCACTCGAATCCATCATCAGAGACATTCGCAGATAGAGGTAAAGGTGGCACCAGGAGTGCAGTATTTATAGCACGTGGCTGCCGTTGGACCGTATGCGCACAGCAATTAATAGTTTTCACAATCGCCGCTGGGGTCGTAATTGATGCGGCGGTGGCTTGGCGGTCCGAGTCCGAGTTGTTAATTGCCGCGATTTCGTCATCCGTGCTCGATGCTGGTGTGACGATTGCTCGGCAAACTGGCTCACTGTCACCGTGATAATTTCTCACCCGCGCCCTCCCCACGTGACTGATTCTCCTGCCCGGGGAAAATCGCAATACGGAATAGGCCACCGGGAGGTCATTGTGTTTGTTGATGGATTGCGGGCCTGAGAACCATGACTCGAGCAGCTCGCGGCTCACGCGGTTGTCACCCCTTGCGAGGATTTCGGCCTCTTGAAATTTGAA